CTAGTTGTTGTTCATGGATGCGCTCTGCTAATCTTCTGCCTGTCTGTCCTACATAGTGGTTGTTACAGTCCTTACACTGTATGTGGTAGATGGACTTCAAGGGGATATATTAACAAATATTTTAAGGCTAAAAATTCAGCTGTAGCCAGTCTCCCATCTTTAAGTTTAAGATGGCATAGCTTTTGGAAGTGGTGGATTTCATCCCCAACAAGGATATTTCTTTTATCATTGAACTCTTGTTTTCTTGCCTTTACAAAGCAAGCAGCTATATTCCTTTCTTGCTGGGATTGGCGGAACCTTCACAAAAAGTTCTGTAGGTAGGTAGGTAGGTAGGTAGGTAGATAGATAGATGCAATTTCCATTAAATAACATTTTGTGATTGGAATTATTAGAAGAAAAGTACATGTCACACTGTTATGACTGATCATCAATTATTAACATTTGGGTGTTTGGAAGAATGAAGAGTAACTTGAAACTCATTGCAGTTGTCATTCTGCTACAATTGTAATAACCTCTCCTTCAAATCAAGTTTGAATCCTAGTGATTACGTGGACATATCCATGTTCTTTCTCGGTATCATACCAAAGTGGTTGTCATTGCTTTACCTGAGGATATATTTTTTACTTTCAAGTCTAGCCTATGAAGATGGAATTTCCTGCTGCTCCCTCATTCAGATACTAAGTTTTTTTCAAGGTTGGCAACCGAAAAATGGCATCTGTTTTTCAGTGGAACTTTTTCTAGCTGTATAAGGCATATAGATTAAATAAGAAGACTATATGATCAATTCCCAAATGTTTCTGTACCTCAAGATCTTAATACAGATACGCAGTTTCTTACAATCATGCTGCATAATTGAATATCCATGTTATAAAAGTAAGTCAGTACATTGTTGCTGGTTTTTTTCTGCTTGCTTTTCAGAGCAGACACAACAAGAATAGATTATTCAATTCCTTCTAGGGAGAACTGGGCTCTGCCATATTTTGCTTGTCAAGTTGCAGCTCTAACGGGCTATTTAAAGAATAATATAAACTCTTCTGCTGAGGTAAGAGAAAAGTGTTTGAAATGGAAATAGAATGGTAAAAATAAAATGGTAGAAAAATCAATACGCTTTTGGGGGAATAGAACCAGTCTCATGTTTTCTTCACTCCTTGTATATCTGGTTTTTAGAAAGATAACACTGTTTGCTAAACCATATTTTACCTCCTGAACCAGGAAACTATATATTAAGTGCCCCTTTTGAAGATGTAGCAGTCAGATTCTTTTGGCCATATTCTGCCAATCCCTGCTGTAAAACATCTGACCTAGAGGTTGTTTGTGACATTGACGATCTGTTGCTGGAATTTTCTTCCTCCTGATCCTTTGTTTCAAAGGAGATTTTCAACATTTTGCCTTGTAAGTTCAAACATTGGGCTTTTCCACACTGCAGTCTTAAGCTACATGATTCCTGTGTGAAAACTGCCTGGAAAGGAAGCAGACTTAAGAAATCCCAGATGTTTTGGCTATAGTGATAGCCTAGTGTTCTGTCTGGACTGTGCTGGCCCCTGATTAGTGGATTCTCCTGCTGCTTTGCCCTTCCACGTGTGCCAGGAAAACAAGTACCCACCACTTTCCTTTCTCTGGGCAGGTCTTTGAGGTCATATGGTTTCCATTGATAGACCTTTTGTGTGACATACACATACACACACAAACACTGGTACTTGACACCTTCCCACTTGGCGTGCCTTTGGTGGACCACTAGAAAAGAGACCCCCACTGTTTTACCATTCTTCCTATCACCTGCACTGTGGGAGGAAACTAGCAAGACTCTTGTCAGTTTTACCTGGTTGAAAAAAACAAAAGCAAAGAAAGGCCCCCTGCCCCTCCCTCACTGAACCTTAAAAAAAAAAAAGATTCTGTCTACATAACACTGGCCCAGCAACCCAGCTTGCTTCCTTTTGGATTTTGACTCCTTTCCTACCCCAAACTCATAATTAATCACTGGGGATTAAAATGTTCAGGGGGCTGAATGGAGCAGAAATGAGGAGAGATGGCTGCGGAAAAGCAGCTGAAAGGCTCACGGCTTCACCAGTCCACTGGTGAAATTAAGGGGAAAAACAGAGTTCACTCACTAATGTCTCTTCAGATGGGGCCCACAGGCAGTCCAGTAGTTCAGGCCAAAGCGGTTGTGGAAAGAAGCAACCAGTGACCAGAGAAAGAGGCATATTCCTGCCACAGTCCACGGTCACTGGTTTGCGTTCAGTGGGGCTTCTGGCTAGATATGTCTGGAACGGCACTACAGCAAACCTGATGCACAGTCCCAAGCAGTTCTACCTTCCCTTTCCCAATATGCCTTCAGAGTTCCTAAGTTGAATTAGTTATTTGTAATGCATTTGAAAACATTGTTTCCTCTATTCTTCTCCTCCTCCTCTTCCTTCTTGCCCTTTTTCCCAGAGATTTTGCTACCTGCTGGTCAGTGCTTCAACGTACACTTTTATGATGATGTGGGAATACAGTCATTATCTACTGTTTATCCAAGCGGTCTCTCTTTTCCTGCTCGATGTCATAGGGTTCACGCAGACAGAGAAGGTATTTGGACATTCAATCACATTCATTAAATATTTTTAAATTCAGTTTCTGCTTTGTTTTCTTTGTCTTCTGTAAGCTCCGTCTGTAGGATTGGGGTGGGCTCAGAAAAAAGCAAAGGACAGAGGGCTAATTATTGTGCAGCTGCAACTTAGTTTCTTAAAAACCAAAGCATGCTGATGTTTTATTTCCCCATCCATAGGTGCATGAAATATATAAAATCTACCTGTTTTCCCTCTTCCTGGGATACATGTTACAATTTGAGAATCCAGCTTTATTAGTATCTCCATTATTAAGCCTTGCTGCAACAGCCTTGCTGGCAAAATACCTTCAGGTAATGTTGGAGATATCATTTGTAGTTCTGCACTTCTCTGTATTGAGGTTTCAATCTAGAACTGAACAGGTCTGTTGCTTTTTTTGTAGATGAATATGAAAAAAGGAACCCTTCTTTCAAGGATGCTGAAAGTCATTTATTTTTATTTGGTATTCACAGTAACAGTGACTTTGAATCTTACAATGAAGGTAATCTTTATCTTTAAAAAGTTTCATTTAATTGTGCACAATAATTCAGGTAAACCATATGTAAGTTCCAGGAGAGGGGGAAAACATCTGCTAAAACTATTTCCTTTCCTGTGGTTTTTTTTTTTTTACTAGTGAAATAGATAATGGACTAAGTCACCCTTTCCCAACCTCTGTAGATAATAGACTAGTTGTAGGGAGTGTTTCTCAACCTTAGCAACTTTAAGGTATGTGGACTTCAACTCCCAGAATTCCCCAGCCAGCCATGCTGGTTAGGGAATTCTGGAAGTCCACGTATCTTAAAGTTGCTAAGGTTGAGAAGCATTGGTTATTGGAGTGGAAATGCAACATATGGAGGATACCAGATTAGAAAAGACTGGACTGGAGTGGGAAAAAAGGTATTAATATTCCAGTATGTCTAAGTGGCTTTTTTACAGATTTGGAATCAAGATGTTGATGGGAAAAGTTGGGAATGGGGGTAGTGGGAGTCAAAAGAAGGAAGTAGGGGCTGCTCTCAAGCTCCACCCAACTTTTTGATTACCACAGTACAGTAAAAACAAAGGATATTGAAGCAAAAACATAAATACATGCCACAAAGTATCACTAACTAATTTTCTAGTGTAATATATATTTATTGAAAAACTGCTAAGAGCTAATGACATTTCAAAGTGGGTTCCTTATATTCCCAGTTTTTGCAGATACACCCGGTGGTCTCATCTCTCCAGTAAGATCTTTAGTAAGGATCTTCACAAGACTCCCTACCCTACCCATGTGGTCTTTTTTTTTTTAAAGGGTTCTCCAGACTATGTTAGACTCCATGCCAGCCAGGTTGGGCAGTGGGTGAAGACCACAGAAGTTGTAGGCCAACCGTATCTGACAGCTAGAGGCTCCCTTTCAGTCTTTGTTACATAGCTGTGTTGTTTGTTCTCTGTTAGAAAATGTAACGTCAGTAATCAAATGATTCTTATCTAATCTCATGTAACTCTGTCTGAGATGTCAGTTACCTGAGTGAAAAGAATGTTACCTATATGCAGTGTGTCTTTTCTTTTTCAGACTTTTATTTCTCATAAAGAAAACGAGCATTTAATGAAAGTCCTTGAAGTAAAATTGGGATTAAATACAAATAAGTAAGTTTAAAATCATGATCTACCTAATTGCAAAGGAATTATTTTTATTTTAATACCTGTATAGGCTGATAGCTTGTCAAACAAACAAACAAACAAACAAATAAGCACATTTCTAAAAGGTATGGGTTAAAAAGTATGCTTTGAGTTACGTTCTCAATGTTAAGAAAGAAGAAGCCAACCTCAGCTCAAATAGCACATAGTTATTAGACAGCGTTTTGTATTTGGTTTCAAAAAGGTGATTAGCAGTGCATATGTAGTACCGTGTACAACTCTCTAAAGCTTTCCTGAGATTGCTTCTGCTGCTGAGTGAGAAGAGACAGCTGCTTTTAAATGGGACGGACCGGTATTCCATTGATGCTTCAAGGTCTTTTGGAGATTCAGTGAGAAACCCTGCACAGTCCTCATAATAGAAGCACTGGATGAGGGCACTGCATCGTCTTTGAGCATCTTCTCTGCCCGTGCCCAGGAGCAGGTGTCCCAAGCAGAGACTTAGAGCAGTTGGGACATCTCTGGGCTCTTTTTTAATGTATGTTTCTGTCCTTGAGGAAGTGCTTTGAAGGGTGTGGGCAAAGTCTTAGGAGCCAGAAGAATCGCTGAATAAAGATGGGGCTCTAGGCCCCTCCAAGCTGTGATGTTAGACTACCAGTAGGAACACAATAAATTATACGAAGCAGCAGATTTGGAATTTAATATATTCCTTTAGTTTGCTTTGCTTCATCCTTTTTTCTTGTGGAATATTTTTATGATTAGAGTCTACCCTAATTCCATCATCCCTGATCATGAACCATGCTGGCTGGGGCTGATAGGAATAAGAATTCAGCATCATCTGGAGTGTTCCCATAAAACTTTCTTATTTAGTGAGAGATCTGGGGAGTAGCTTGTAGTGAAGTGAGAACTGTGGACTAGTAACTCAAGGGAGAAGCTAAAAGGCAGATTGAGGAGTTAAATGAGAAGCGCTGCAGAAGTAGGTGGTGGAGGGACAGCAAGGAAGAAAGCAGATGGAAGATTTGAGAGAAAAGAAACGTGCTTGTGTACTGGGCAAGGTAGAAAGGCAGGCTCAGCTGGGAGCACGAAATTGCTTTTCAGTAGAGGAGAAAAATGCTCATAGGCTGGGAGAGTGGAAGAATTCTGGACAAAATAGGCCCAGAGGGTTGAACAGACTGAGGCCAAAGGCACACCTGGGCCCTGGAAAACTTAGGAGCGGCCCCTAAGACTTTCCAAAACTTGCCTCCAAATCTTAATTTTAAGGCACCCAAAGAAGAAAAAATATTCAACACGTGAAAAAATATTCCATTTTAATTAAAGCGTACAGTAACTTAAAGTATATTTACAGCTATACACTTTTCTTTATTCTCACTGTTCTCCTTTGGAGAATGTCCCTGGTCTACCACTGAAAGGCCAAACACAGGCTGGGGAGAACTGAGCTCCTCTGGTTTAGACCGTGATCTTTCTAAACAGGGTGAAATAACTACTGTAGGTGGCCCTGTTGCTTGTTTCAATAAAACTTAGGAGACAACAGAGATTGCTGCTTCCTCGGTCATTTTTTGGTGAGCTTGTAGAATTTTGTGAAATGGATGACCAGGAAAAGACACATCTAAAGACAAAACCTTGTTTGTTTTCCTTCAAAACAATATCTTTTAGACATTTATTTCTGTGCAAAATGAAGACATATTTAGGGAATAGCCTTTTCCATACCAATAAAGTCAGTACAATAGATTATTCTGACTGGCTGGGATCACGTCTGCCTATTTAATGTGCTTCACCTCCCCTGACATTAACAGGAACTTCACAGTTAATTGGCTGCTTTGTCAAGAGTCCCTTCAGACACCATCCCAAGACTTCTTCCTGCGGCTCACTCATTCTTCGCTGTTGCCATTCTATATTTTAGTGCTAATTATTTGCCTTGCTTCTGTGGGTCAGGCCTTCTTTAGGAGAATGGGGTAAGTTGATTTTTGTCAATTCTCAATTTTTTGTTCCATAGCTTCTGTAGATATTAGTTGCTTGGTGTAATTGATACATCCTTTGGCATATGCTGTCTGGCTTCCAAGCTGAATAAAGTGGTAGAATTAAATTTGCATTCCAGCTTCCTATGCATATAATATAATGTATGATATCTGCATATCACATTTTGCATATGTGTTTAATGCTTTTATCCTTCCATCTTCAAAATTAGATAGAAGGGAGATGGGCTGTCTTTGGGTTTCTGGTAGGCTTTCTTTCATTTTTTGCCCTCAAATACCCCCAGATCTATAATTGGAGCCTGTTGCAAATAGCTTATGTCTGTTTAAAAAATGCTTGATGTTAAAAAATGAATGAAAATGAACTATTCAAGAAACAAGATGATGTTTCTTGAATAGTTAGAAAAACCCAAGAATTTGTGATGAATTCTTGAACTGAGCAGAATTCACTGTCTGTTCACACTTTGTTCATTGATCAATATGCTATGGAATGTATTTAGATTGCCTTAGGGTATGTGCTTGTGCCACATTCTATCCTTGGTAATTCCTTTGCTACATAGCTTTCTTGAATCATTGTGTGCAAAGCACGTTTTAGATTTAAGATATAACATAATGAAAAATACAGTTGTTGGGTCTGATGGGTCATTTAATTGTCAAGCAGACTCCATGAGAGAGAGGTGTGATGACCTCTGTCTTCTTTTTCCCCCAATGCCACAGCAATAAACAACTCAACGAGTCCACCACACACGAGGGCAGGATTGGTGAAAGGCCAGAAGTAGCGTACCATATATTGCACACAGTTTCCTTGGGGTTGCTTTCTATGATGATGGAAGGGTGAGTCTGTGACAAGGATGCATGGATTTCTTTTCACTGGGAATGGGGATGGTATTACTCTTTATACATGGATTTTTAAAAAATTCCCTGGATATGGATAGGCATGGAAATTATTTTTAAAGAAATATCTGTGACTGGTTTATAACAGGCTTTCTGTATAAGTGATTTTGTCATTAATACTTCTCTATTCATCAAAATGTGTTTTGCATCTGCAAAAGGTTGAGAGTGAGTGGAAAATTAATGTAAGGTGTTTGCTCCTACAACGTGCAGTGATAGTTTTAAAAGGCAATTAGAAAAAACCATGTAGACATAAGACTATCAATGACTGCTGAGTATGACTGGCTTTATGTTACTTCAAATATTGGTAGTAGAATATCTCTGAACAGTTGCTTAGAAACAGTAATAAAGGAGGAATATTATCTTCATGTTTGTGAGCTTCCCAAAAGCATCTGATTTGGCCACCATGAGAGACATAAAACTGGAACATAAAGATTTTTCGAGTTGTTCTTATCTGGGTCCCCTTTAAAATAAATGATTAAAAACAAAACTAACTGTAACACATATAACAAATTATCATTGTGAGAGTTTTGACTGACAGGTGTTAAAATAAATGGCCTAATGTGCATTACAACCTGTGATCCTACAACCATGGATGAGGGCTGCACTTGGTCTTGGAATTATATGCCAAGGGCCACACTCCAGAGCAGTGTTTCTCAACCTTGGCCACTTGAAGATGTGTGGACTTCAACTCCTAGAATTCC